CCAAGCCGGCGTTGCCGTCTCCTCCGCGCACCGCCCCGCAGCTCCTGCGTGCTCTACTTTTCATCTGCTATTGTTCCAGATTGTTTTCTGCGGGCGAACCTTGCTCGGAAACTTACAAAGTGTTGGATAGCCCCTGGTTGGAACTGAGGGACTGCAGACCGCCTCTGGGTAGCTGGATGAAACCCACCCCGTCCCCTTCTGGTACCAAAGTGCTTAGTCCTCTCCAAAGTGCCATGTCTGAACTGTTCCTGGGAAGAAGCGGCTTCTGAACGTGCCCACACCTTTGCACCTGCCTTGCGCTCCCCATTCCTCGGCCACCTTCTCCGGCCGAAGCAGGACGGAGAAAGCTCCTCTTGAACGTCCTCCTCCGTGGAAGCCGGTTCTCCGACGCTGGGAGCTGAGGCTGAACCTGGGGGAATATTGGACTTGGAGGAGTCTGCGCGCTCTTCTCCCCGCGCCTGGCGGTCGCTGCTAGTTCACCGCTGGGTCCCCGCGCTCGCTCCCCACCCCACCCACTTCCTGTGCTCGCCCGGGGGGCGTGTGCCGTGCAGCTGCCGGAGTTCTGGGAAGTTGTGGCTGTCGAGGATGGGGGTCTGTGGGTACCTGCTCCTGCCCTGGAAGTGCCTCGTGGTCGTGTCTCTCAGGCTGCTGTTCCTTGTACCCACAGGAGTGCCCGTGCGCAGCGGAGATGCCACCTTCCCCAAAGCCATGGACAACGTGACGGTCCGGCAGGGGGAGAGCGCCACCCTCAGGTAGGGAGCTACCATTCTTCTACGAATTGATAATGTGTGTGGGGAGGGGGCGAGGGACAGGGGCGCAGGTGTGTGCACCCAAGCGCGGCTGGCGAAGAAAGGTTGCTGGCTCCCAGGGCCGCACGGTTCGTGGATGAGCTCGGGGGGTGGAGGAGAAAGAACCCAGGCTGGCTAGGGGCTTGGAGCACGTGAGAGGGCCTTTTACAGGCCCAAGGGCTCCCCGCTTGCGCCCTATGGATGCCCACCCCGTCCTTTGGCCAGGTGTGCTATTTGCTCTGGTTCTCTGGTCCAGGATCTCTTGTGAACATTGAGGTCCTGCTTGGGACCCCATAGGTTCAGGACCATGACATGGCTGAATTCGCTTTTGCCTGGGTAGCACGATGAGGACCCGAGGGCACTGGATTGAATGCTTCGGGTTAGTCTGGGATCCCTGGATGCTGTCCAAAGGCCGGAGGATTGCCTTCAGCACCAGGCTAGCCGCTAGCAGAGAGAACGAGAGACAGCTGACATAGAAGGCTCTGAAACTGCTCTGGCCCGTTAGGAGTTTGCACCACAACCAGCCACTCATGCCAACCCGGTGTGCTCCAGGGGTCCCTGCTGTCAATTAAGAGGGCAGTTTTATTTTCGCAGAGGGGGCCAAGGAGAGGAAACAGCTTTTATGCAGCGGCATCAGTCCTGCGTGAAAAGCACAATAGGAAAGCTTTTTGTTTTACCTTAATGAGTTACAGAGAAGCACTTACATGCTCCCGGCAGAGGCGTGGGGAGTCTCGGAATATGAACCTTTGGGGACTAGGCCTGCTGCAGCAGAGACTTTAATAAAAATGCAGCCACCACTTTCCACCAGCTCAGCAGATATCATCTTTTATCCCTTTAATGAGGCAGTTCTGGTCCTAGGAGACAGATTCAGGGACGTCCCAGCTTAACTATGTCTCACATTGTACACAGGGTGAATGCATTTGCCCTGCTTGTGACTTTGATGGTTATGGTGAAAATAAAACATTCTGACCCAGATTCTGCAGCCAAAATGCCTTGCTCCTCTGAGGAGAGAACGAGGGTGGGTTTTTTTTCCCCTCTGTTTTTCTGTGCACCTCCCTGGTGGAGCCCTTCCAGAACCTAGGCAAGCCTCTTCCTGGGGAAGGAAAGAGACGCCTTGGGCACATTGGCTTTCTTCTCTAAGCCCAAGGGTCAAGGTTGCATTCTTTCTACTTTGGGGGGTTCTGAGTTGACTCTTTTTTTGTTTGTTTGTTTTGTTTTGTTTTTGTTTTTGTTCTGGAGAAGAGATCCCAGAACTCCATGCGATGGTGGTCACAGGCCCCCAGAGGACAGAAGTCTTTCCTAGACAGTAAGGGAAAAGTCCTTCTGGCCATGTGGGCAACCCTCAGTCTGCCCTAGACTACAGAGAAGTATCTCTACTTCACTGCCTCTGAGCTGAGACCTCACCCTGAGAAATGATTTATGAGATGCACGTTTGCAGCAGGCCAGTCAGTCCAAAGATGAGCATAGCACGAGGTTACCATGCGTGTCAAACAAGGAAAGGGGGTCTAGTGCTCTGAGGGCTGTGGGTGCTACTGGGCACTTGTTTATCTGCGAAGCTACCACTGGGTAAAGACGTCTAGCTTGGAGTAGGATTTCCGATTTCCGTGCTAAACTTTCCAGAATCCTCTGTCCTTTTTCCTACCCCTGGAAATTTAACCAGAAGCTTAAAACTTGAGCTTTCTACTCTCTGGGATGCAGTGAAATGATTCCACCAGCAGAGGGCCAACTTTGATCTACCATTTTTTATTAGTTGCTGGCCTGTTTTCATGATCTTCAATTCTAATGTTTAGCAGCTGGGCTTGGTAATAGGAATGGGAATGAAAAAAGGAAAAGCTGAATAGTTGCTTTTTGTGCTCTGTAGAAATAAAAACAGAACTTACATGTGCAGGTAGAAGTAGTCTCTTACACGATTGTATGCTGTAGTTATTTTCTTTAAATAAGCACATGCCATGTTGGTTTTATCTCCTCCTCAATTGAAAAAGTCACACTGTCTACATTTTAATCTTTTTATACCCCCTTTTTTACCTTACACAGTCTTATTATTTTCTCATGTCTTTATCATATATGCTTTTGCTTATTATGTATTTTTTCCCTTCATTGCTTAATTCTTATTGCACCTTGTTTTTTATAAAGTTTGATTTTACGACTGTAATAATGTTTTTTAAAAGAATATAAACCTCTCCTGCAAATTTCTGTGGATTAGATTCTATGTTTTGGTGTTTTCCATACTCCTTTGATTTATTGGCTGATAGTTGAGTATCCATCTTAACCAAAAACTGATTGTCAATCCTGTGAGGACAAGTCCATGTTTACAGAGTTATCCCAAGTAAACATACCATGTTTTGTTTGGTGGTGTTTTTCACTTTAAAAAATGATGATTCTTAAGTATGGTCACCTTGGTCTCCTTGAAGGTATTCATTGAGAATTCATTGCTTGGGAATTTAGTGTTCCAAATGCATCAGATGTTCGGAATGCTTCCAAAAAATGAATGATAGCCATTCCTATCAGTCACAGATAGCCTTTCCAAAGGTGACTGCCCTGGACCAAGTGAGCTCAGTCCGTTTCTAAGTCTTGGATGAAGTCACTTAAGGAGACCCAAGACCTAGGAGAAAAGGCAAAAGACCTGGATCTGCCTTCAGATTTCCAATGAAAAATTGCATAGCTTAGAGAAGAATGATTTCCTTCCTTCGGGCTATCAGTTTTGTTGTGACAGGCCTTTGATTGCACTGAGGGACATTAGGAAGTTATATGCCTGGGACGACACTGAAGTTTCGAACAAGGATGAAACTCATTTTATGTAAGTGAGGCAATATTATCTTCCTCATAACTACTTCATAAGGCTACTTGAAAAGTAAAAATAATTATTTGAATATTGAGTTATTTTGGCTTCGTGAAAAAAAGAGATGATATGGAAAATGAAGGTGCATTTCACCATGGTTGAATTATAGCTTCTATGAATCTGATTTGAATTCATTATTACAAATGGGCCCTCTTGGCCAGAATCATTTCATTACAATTATCTGCTGTTGGGTTAAAAATGTTCCGTGCCTTTCAGTTAGATTAGATATGACAAGTGTCTGGAAGTCCTATGTCTGAATCGATGCCCGCATCGGAACAGGAGCCCAGGATCTGTGGTATGGGCAGCTGGCATCCATTAAGCCATCTCAGCTGCATAATGACCACCAGTTGTGCTTTCTTCACGGGCACATCTCTAAATTTGCTTTGGTTGTTCTGGGGGTCCATGACTTCTGTGTACGCCACATTTTGAGGGGCCTAGTAGCATAGAGGAAGGGGTTATTGCTGGAACTGTTGTGTTTCATGGGACAAGTTCCCACTGACATTTGAGTTTTATTTTTTTTGCGGGGGTGGGGTTTGTTTCCCATAGTAGAATAATCCATTTCGTTGATCCTGGCTCGCCAATTCAGGATTATGCTTAATGACTCTTTTCTAAAATACCCCTGCATTGTCACTTGGAGTTCTGGGTAAGTATTGGAGGTTTTCTGCTGAGGAATGATCTGAGCAGTGAGATTTTGCCAAAGACTAGGCAACTAGCACTCCCAAGAATGTTCTGTTGTGTGCCTAGAGATTTTTCTGGGTTTTGCACTTACTGTTAGCACTTTTGTGTGAGTTCTGAAATTCAGGGTAGCCATTTGGTGACTCAAAGCAAGTCTGACTTTTGTATTTCTATGTTTAAGTGGTCTGCATTAGGTAAGGGTTGTATACGCAGAAGCTTTGCTTGTACTCTGGAAAGGTGGAGATGGGAAAAGGGAAGGAAGGGGTCCATAAACCCCTGGATAGTGAGGCTAACCTAGGTTGCATATGGGAGTTACATGGGGGCCTTTTTAAAATCCCAATGCTAGAGTTTCAGACAGATGAAATCGAATCTCTAGGGTTGGGCATAGATATGGGCATTTAAAACATCTCTGCCAGTATTGCTAATATGAGGCCAGGCCAGAGCTGAGAAGCACTGCTCTATCCCTATACCCTTGAGTTCCCAGTGTCTACCTCCCACTGAAGTGTCCCCTCTGTGTGTACACATGCCTTGTGGCCCACATCAGCACCATGGCCTTCTCTGGGCTTAGGCGCCTGAACACCTGGGTTCAATTCTTGCTTGACCACTCACTAACTCCATAACCCTGAAGACCTCTGTTCAGTTGCGTATATGTAGGAAGGATATTTGCGTAGCTTGTGGCATTAGGCATATGGCGCATTTCTCTCCTAACTACAAAGCAGCCTGTGTGTGCATGTTGTCGTTGGTACTAAATGGAACTCTCCAGTAACTACCAGCAGTGTGTCCAGTCTTTCCAGGTTTCACCTGCTTCATGTTCTGCCTCCCTACCCACACACACATATGCACACAAGCACAATCGTGTGTGCACACACACACACCTGTAAAATATATCAGTCTCTTCTCAGTTCAATTCAGTTTTTAGCTTTCTGCTATTGCCAGTAATTACCTTCATCTGAGTTTCAGTAATACTTGCTGTAGATCTCTGTCCTCATACACCTGCACTGCGGACCTGTGAATTCTTCAAGTGTGGTTACCACTAAACTGTGGGCTCCTGGATCATAGGAGCCATGTCTCATGCATTGGTTACTAGATGTTGTGGTGGATACTGAGATTTAAAACAATGAGGAATGGTGGGACCAGCAGGTGGCATGGAAGTTAAGGTGCTAGATTACACATGGCTGATTGCATAATTCAAGTCACAGACCAGGCAGCTTGAAAATCACCCCAGGCATGTGTGCAGGCGTGCTCAAATTCCTGAGAGGAGACTGGAGGAGAAGGGATTATGGCATGGCCATCTCCCATGGGGGATTTCTCACATTCCCTCTCTCTTTCTTTCTCTGTCTCTCTCTGGTGAGCATGGCACCTTATAACAAAAACTAAAAACAAAACAAAACAATGAAGAATGGCTGAATATTTAATCCATCTTCTGAGACCCAGCCTCTTCTGTTGTGTT